TTTTAAAAAAAAGTATCTGAATGTAAATTAATAATTAGATACAAGTTGAAAAGGGAATTCGACAGGTTACCCTTTTATCAAATAAAATAGATTTGTATTTTCACGTGCATGCAAAAACCAAAAACCAAGAAAATCCCAAATTGCAGTGCACACAATTGATAGGACACTTCCATGGACTATAAATATGAGGGCCTTCCAAACTTTATTTGTCTTTGCCTTTGTTTCTCTCTCTCTCTCTCTTCTCTCTCTCTCTCTCTCTCTCAGTGCCTGTTTTACCGATGCCTATAAGATAGATAGTGCCTAAGCCTAGGAGCCCTAAACCCCAGTTTCAGTGTTTATCTGGACTCCACTTGTTGCATTGTCACCTCACTACCCAACCCATACAAGACAGATTTAGAAACACCATTTACAAAGCCACAACACTCTCTCAGTCTCAAGCCAAAATTGAGAATTGAAACAGAGAAAGTTGATAAATAATGGGAAAATTGCATCCATCCAAACTAAAAAGATTACAACCAACCTCCCAGAAACCCAAGTGGCATTTGTGCAATTTTTTCACAAGTAATAATATTATTATTGAATATGGAAGATGATTTTCCGAAAATAAAAAGGCTTAATTGTACTCTAATTGTCCTCTAACTAGGAACAGTTTAAAAGTTGCTTGGTAATTGTTTCCACTTTCTCATGTTTCTGTTTTTGTTATTTCTTATTTCATATACGTGAGTTCGAATTTTTTTTTTTTTTTGGGTCAATAAGAACTTTCATTAACAGGAGAGCAATCCAAACCAGATTACAACTCAAACAAAAAGGAGAAGCAGAGCCATGCGACATATGTTTATCAAACAAGACATGTTTTCAGTTTTCAGTTTTCCGAAAAAATGAAAACGAAATGATTATTAAACGAGTCCTTTAAATAATTCTTAAACTAAAAGAAACACACCATCAATCAACTTTAAATTTTTGGTGTCCAAGACAACTATGGAAGAGAAATCAAGTTGGGCAAGTTGCAATTGTTGACTTCAAACCCCAATTACTCACTGACAAAACCCCCAAGTTACATCCCTTTCCCCTTCCCCACTACCCCCTTGCTATTGAGCGGCTCATTCCCCATCTCCCCTTTCTCTCTTTTTTCTTGCCATTTTTTTGGGGTCAATCGTTGGGAGGTCAAAGTTTAAGAACTACAACAATTAAGCCAAATTAAAATGTAAATCCAGGGAAGTGTATTTGAACATGTGAACATAGAGTACCAAAGCCCCCACATACCCCAAGAAAACCCCATAATAAAATTGAGTGGCAGAAGCGAGCTGGTTATAAAAACAGTAGTGCTCATGCATTGAACTTTCTGCAGACATGAAAATTGAAACTTTAATTTACTCACCAGCAGCATCACCAATCTGCTAATTCCCAATTTCCTCAAATCACATAATAAATGGAATTTGATTAATACCCTTTCCATATAAACAGAATGAGGAGCCAAAAACTTAATTAATGAGTGAAAATAAAGCAAAAAAAGGAAAATAAAACAAATTATTATATCCTAAAAAAATACAGAAAGATTGAGCCGTCCAGCCAATATCACCAACACCCCTACACCATCAAAAGCCAAAGAAGCAGATCATGAGGAAGGAGATCAGAACTTGCTGCAACAAGTGGTGGACTTTGGAAATGGCATTTCCTCTACCAGTCCACCCTTCACATTTTGAGTCCAAGAAAACAACTTTCTCCACAAACTTTCTCAGCAAAAACACTTGAAAGCATGATTCTTCAACTTTCCAGGAAATTGCAGCCATAGCCCCCACCATGCTCCACCACCAAACTTGCTGTCAGCACCAGAAGAAGCCTAAGATTATAGGCAAAAACACACAGACAAACCCACAATGAGATAAAAGGTGCCCCCTTTTTCTGAAGTATGTGGCCAAAAATAAAAATTGGGTTTATGAGCATTTTGAAAAAGAACTTGTGGGTAGGTGAGTAAATGCCAAAACAATGAGCATGAATTGTATAAAATAAAAGAAGAAGCTGAGGAGCAAATTATGAAAGAGGGGTAGGGGGTGGGGTGGGTTGTTGCCTTGGATTTGTGTTGTGTCCTTCTGCTGTTCCGTCTGTCTAAACATAATGAGGCCAAATAAATGTGAGAAAGGGAAAGAAAGAAAGAAAAGAGAAAAATTAAAGAAGGGTTTCCGCTTTGTACGATTTTGAGCATGGAAATATTATTTTCCCTTTGCCTTAAACTTAACCAAACCCCAACCCCCCCCCAAAAAAAATCTCTCTCTCTCTCTCTCATCTCTGCGGCCTCCAAAAAACTTGTATGAAACGATAACATTGTTTTGCTATCTAAATCCAATTACAGACTGTCACTTGTAAAAGTAATCACACATTAATATACCGTAATTGACCGATAATAGCAAAATAATACTATCACATTTCATGTAAGTGCTCCTCGTCAACACACCCTTTCCACCTTTGCTTGCCACAGAAACCCCATATTAGCTAGATTTGCGCAAGCAACCTCTGTCCTCTTCTGGTTTCCATTTATACCCTTAATCCACTGCCAAAACCCCACTTATATCCCTCAAATAATGTGGCGCATACACCTATACCCTTTTACCCTTGATACAGTTTCCAATTTCAAATTGCTTCAATTTTTAAAAGAGTTTTTAATTGAATTTACATTAGGAGCCTCAGAGCCTGCCTGACCAAACAAGCACCACAGCCGAGGTTAAAATTTTTTCGAGAAGAACACCAAACCCTACACAAAACAGTGGTTCTTGATCTAACATTCGTTTGTGGATTCCAGGGGTTGCCATTGCTGAGACCAAAGCAGCTAAACAAGGCCTACACAAAATATAGCCTCTTTCTTCAAGAAAATGGTGGTCTAAGTTTGACCCTTTGGTCATAATAATACGCATACTGGGGGACCCTTAGGGGTACTGTGGTCATTTTGCAACACTTAGATGGGTAAAAAAAAAAAAACAAGTACCCCGGATTTTACGTATCATGTTAACGGAAAAGTGTGTTGCTGCGGCTTTTAGAAAATGCGGTGTGAATTTTCCCTTTTGGGTTTCTAGATAATTTGCATGGGTGAACAATATTCATATTGAAATGAGCCAAAAATATATAAAATAAACTATAAATAAAAAAAATAAAAAAATAAGGTGGCAGTAGGAAGCACATGCTTATGGCTTGTCTTGGGCATCTGAAAGTTACAGAGAAGTAACTGTTGGGTCTTGCAGAGTGAATGCAGGCATTTGTACTGGACAAAGATAAAAGAGTACGCTTATTAGCTTAGTTTGAGATTAATATGATGATGGGCCACCTGTACGATGATGGAAGTAGGGTGCATAATTGGCAATGCTAGTTAAGGGTAGCTGAGTTTTCTTCTTGAGCTCTCAAAATCCAGGCTCAGGACTCTCATATCATAGCAGAGAACGGCAAGAGACAGAATGTCTGAGCAAAATTAGGATATCAGAGAAAGAGCAATGAATTTTTCAGGGCAACAAAGAAAGAAAGGAGAAAATATGAGAGAGAGAGAGAGAGAGAGAGAGAGAGAGAGAGAGAGAGAGAGAGAGAGGCTCCAAAAACCAAGACAAAGATGAATCAGGAATCTCTCATCAGAGAGCAATGAAGAAAAGAAACTTTTGTTAACTCAATAAAAAGAAAAGAGAGAGAAGCTACAAGCTGAGCAGCTAAATCCAAAGGGTTTCGTTTTTGGAGCAATAATTGATGATTTTGGGTGTCCTTTCCATAAGAAGCAGCACCAAACTAGAAATGCTTTCGAACTAGATGAACATAAAAAATAGCAAACGCTTTGCACACAGCTTTTTTTCTTGGGATACCAATGAAACATTGATGACAGTGACACATTTTGGTATGCAACAAAATGGTACAAATAAAGCTTCCTCTAGATAAGTGAAAATGGCACATACCTTATTTCTCTTCCAGAAAAAATCCGAGAAAATTCTGCTTCAAGAGCCCAGAATTGTTGTTTTCAGAGGCTGCATTTGTGAACACAAGAGGCTCCACAGAGAGAGAGAGAAAGAGAGAGAGGTTCATCCAAAACCATATCCATTCCGTGTTTAAGAAGAGTAATATTGTAATGAAACAACAGTGTAACTTTCTTTTTCAAAGAGCTAAAGGGGTCTTGTAGCTTCTCTTTACAGGCGAAAATCAAAACTCTGACTATCTGAGAAGTGCATCAAATACTTTTAAATATGTATATAGATAATTAGCATTTATCTTATCTTTTTCTTTGTTTTCTGTAAAGCGCAGTCTGTGAAGGTGAAGGATGATAATAAAATCATAAAGAAACGGTAAAGTTTACAGAAAGCAGGTGAGACTGTTGCTTTATCCACCTACCTATATTTTTAAGTCTCTACGGATGCATTTCAGAAACCTTGATTGAATCAAAACTAATGAACCCTTCTGTCCGGAAAAACTACAAACAATGCCACTATATATCCAGCCAAGGGAGATGTCTGGCCCCAACTTGTGCAAGCCCAATTTCAAAATGGACTGAGCCTTTATCTTTAACTAGAGTTGACTGTGGACAAATCTCACTTTAACCCTTCGTTTGCAAAAGTGAGGAATTTGACAGATTCTAAGATTTTAAAGCCCTGTGCGACACTCTTAAACTAAGGCCACACATCATCTAATGTGAAATTTATTTTTATTTTTGGCAAAATTTATCATGAATTGATGCCATAAAATAATAAAAGTAATGAGCACAACTATTTTCCATGAAGACATGCATAGTCTAGTAGTATTGTGTGATAATTTTGTTTGATTGGACATGGGTTTTTTTTTTTAGAAGAAGATTTCATTCATAAACCATAAAAGGCATACAAAGATCAGCACGATTACATGGACCACATTAAAACCTTCATAGAAATCATAGGTTTAATAGTGCTATTTCATGAGAAATTTTTGTTATTTTGAAAAAAAAAAAAAAAAAAAAGAAACAAGGAATCCACTAAGCATTCATGGTTCTTTTTATCTGTTACTTGTTATAAATGAAAGCGGCTACATAACACATATATCATTCATGGAGACTTTGGTTCTCATACATTAAATTGAAATAGCTGGAACTCTCACCCCTACACACCCTCCTCATAATTTGGAAGACAAAAAGCAAGAAACCAGCATTAACAAGCCACTCACTTCACTTGTTATTTATTGTACACTAGACAGCAGTTCTTATACTATTATCCATGTAACAGCAAAGATAAAGTAGATATTCTACAAAATTCAAGCTGCTGCTTCATCAGCAGAGGAGACCTTCTTGAGAACATAAACAGGATCTCCAACCTTTACGACATTTCCCTTTTTCCCGGTAAGAGAGCCTTCGAAAACTAGATTCTGCCCAAAGTAGACCTGGAAATCCATTTAACATGTTGTATGTAATGTAAATCACTGCATGGACATGGAGGGTGGAATACGGTCCAAAGCCTATAATTGTTACTTACTCACCTTTCCTTTCTGTTTTTGAGTTGGACGCAAGACACTATCAGACCGGATTTTCCTAAGAGTTTCATTTGGCTCAGCTCCTGCGATGCCAGTCTCTTGATTGATTGTTGGTATCTGGAAGACATGAAAGTTCCTGGTTAGCTTTGGTGCCTGTTAAAAGACCCATTTGTCTACCAAGTGGCTCGCTGCCAACAACGTTTGCTCCAGAGGACACTGTTTAGTTAAACAAAGTTTACATTTTAAAATGGAACTACTTATATGATTTTGAGACAAGTATTACATTGATGTTCCTATGAAAATTTGCTTGACTGTCACCACGTAGGCAAAAATTGCAGAAAGGGTAAAACTCTTAACCTTACAGCGGGAGCATAGCTTGACACCCAGGAATGTAAGCTTGTCTATTCTGATCTCTGTCCATAAGTCCTCAGAAAATGGTTCACAACCTTCAACAAGAATGCTGCGACATCCAAGTAAAAGTTTGCAAGATTTAAAACTAAGTAGTATTGGTTGCGAAGATTTTGGTACAGAGTAGTATTGGTTCCTGGAGAAGATTATTAATGCCAAGTTGCTGAAAATAAGCAGTGCAGGAAACATGGTATTGAAGAATTTGGATGCTTATTAAAGAAGAAAAAAAATACAACAGGAAAACTAAATAAAGAAATTACTTTGGTCTAAAACGGTTAACTGGTATGGGTTCCTTCAAAACGTTATTTAGTGCATCCATTGATCCCTGCAAAATATATAATGACAAGAACCTAGTTGGAGCTTCTATTTGAAAGCAAAAGAAGTTACATTTTCACGTTGCAACTTGACTAACCTGAGATAATAGCATGTATGGGTACATGTCGGAGAACATGATTTTGTGTCCTCGAGCATATTCAGGTTCCACAGGCCTAATTTCTGAAGCTGCATCAGAACACAATGCAACCAGATAAATTAGTTTTGAGTTTGGAAATATGTGCACCACATTGGATGCTATTGCATATTCCAATTAAAGTCCTATCCGATAATGACCTTTTACAGAACACAAAAACTCTACCTGTATTAAAGCGAACAAGTCGACTGGGTTTCCCAAGATAATCTGAAAACCATTTTGATGCATCAGCTCCCTCGTCTAATGCAGAACCAGACCACTCCCATACTGAAACCCCATTTGATACTTCTCGAGGTGCAATCAAAGAAACCTTAAGTGCATCCATGCCAGGTGCTTTTAGTACTGCAAAGTGAAGGTTGTTATTAAGTTAACAGAAAATAAATTCACCAGAACTCTCTGAATGTTGAAACATTAAGCAAAATTATGGAGGACAACTTTGTTTGAAAGTAGTGCTGCATCAGAGTGATTCTTTTTACTACAGTGACAGGTTCTACCAAAGGTGATTGGATTTTGAACTAAATTCTCTAGGGGAAAAGAAACAATGACAATAAAAGATCGAATACAACAATGTGAGCACTTTTAATCATAAGAAGGAAAATAAAGAAAAAGAAAAGAGTAAAGCTCCATTTCAACATCCATCTAGGCATAATAACTCCAGAAACAAATCCACATGTGCCAAAGTGATAATTAGCAAAGGAGAAAGAAGTCGGAGTCAATCGGATGGTCACACATCTCCTGCTCAATGATAAGTTTTCTACTGCAGAAAGCACAGTTTGACCATAAACGGCATCTAAAAGAGGGAAAGACAAACTTTACAGAGAAGAAAGTTAATATTTTTTACCTAGATAAGAGCTTTTAGAAGGTTCCCAACCCTCTATGAATGCCTCATCTGGCAGCTCTACCTGAACCAAAGAAAGCTTTGGTTCAACCCTTTGAGTATACGCCCTCCCCTTGTAGTTTACAACTAACCATTGCCGATCCCATCGAAATCCTGTACATCCCAAAAAAAAGAAAATAAAAAAATACAGAATATGGCTGCAGTTTGCAGTCTAACCAACAATTTTCATTTGAATAATTACAAGTATTCCTTGTCACTAAATTACAGGAGGTCCATCAATAATGTAATAAAGCAGAGTAGTTTGACAAATTAAGGTTAAATAGTAAACTTATGCAAAAACAACCGTGATATGCACTGTTTTTATCCTACACTTTTTATTCCAACAAAACTGAAGGCAACTCAAGGATACAGAGGTACAATCATGTAGAAAAGAACGAATTTCATGTATAGTTAAAAACAAAAAAATTAGAGGGAGAAAACTCAACTGGGCAACTCAAATATGCAAACAAAAATATAATTGAATAATCTGACTTAAATACTAATTTTGCATTTTTTCTAGGGGCCTCAAGAAAGAAACAAAATGAATATCATCATCAATGGAAGTACAAGTAGTGATGAATTGGTCATACCTGTAGGAGTGACAGATGATTGAGAAACTGAAATTCCTCGGCATGATTTTATTGGGTATATGAATATCGATGAGACTTTGGCTATGGCATCTGATTCTGATGGTAGCTGCTCCATCCTCTCTCTCAGTGTTGCTATGCACAAAATGGCCTTTTGGACTGGAAAGAGCGAGAGCTATGCTTTAAATTCAGAAAATGAACCGACCCAATTTGTTCTTATCCTGGAAATGGCCATATAGACCTGCAAGCCCAAACCTTCGAAAAGCAAGATAACAAAAGGTTGAAAATTTATTCAGTTCTGTTCATTTTATCTCTCAACTAAACAGACAAAGTTCAGCAATTCACTCTTCTCCTACCTGCAAGTGTGAATATGACAGGCAGCTGTGCTGTTAGCCATTATTTACCCGCGTCAACTTAAAGTTTTTACTCAAATATTTATATTTATCTATTGGGGGAAAAGGCCAAATTTTGCTGCTTCAATTCCATATTTTTTTCATTATTATCTCAACCGGGTCTAGTATAATGAAAAATAACATTTATTTACTAACTAGTGATCTCAAATTTGAACCCATATAACACCTTAATAGTGCGTGTGAAAAACCTCATCGTCATTCTTACAGTTTAGACTATCTTTTACATATTTTTTATATAAAAAATCCTTACAGTAGGATTGGGGCCATTAAAAGGTCGGCAAGGCATTTGACGTAAGGCACATAAGAGCGCACCTTTAAAATATGAAGCCACACGTTAAAAATATGCAGATATATGTTAAAGGTACGCAGCCACATGTGAAAGATAAGGTTATGCATGTTCAATGTGTTTCACTTCAATTAAAGGAAGAGTTTATGAAGTCAAAGCTCCCTCTTAAGCAAGGTCTAAAATATCGAGAGTTTCGGAAATATCGATGGTTCAAAAACAAGTATATATCGATAAAAATGTCGATAAAAATTGAATAAAAATCACAGAAATTGTGAGAAAAACTTGGAATTTTTTTTTGTAACTTTAGAGAATGTTTATTTAGTCAATTGTGTATTATTTTATCACAAAAAATTGGAATAAAATGTATGGCAAGGTGGGTTTGAGTGATTTAAGTTGATTATGTAGCGACCTGACAAATACCGTGTCTTTAGAAAATATGTAGTAATTAGTGAAAGAAAATTAAACACACCATAATTTTTTAGTTATAATAATTTACTACAATATATTACATATGATAATATATATGAGCTTGGAAAAAAAAAAAACAAAAACAAAATATATGAGTAACTTAGTATCACATAGAAAGAATTCGTTAAAACTTAGTATCACATATAATGAACAATATTAAAACTCAATACTGAATAATAATACAACTCCATAATATATAACCAAAAACCAAAAAAAAATACAACTTCATAATAAAATAATAAATAACATTAAACATATGCCTAAATTTATCATTAGGGATTTTTTTTTTTTAATAGAAATTTATCCTAGATAATATTAGCTTGCAGAAATTCTAAAGACTATATAAATATTACACGTCGTATCTTTATTAACAAACTCGTCCGCAGCATGTTGGATAAGGCTCAGTAGGAGGATTAGAGAGAGAGAGAGAGGGGTTGAAGTCCCCTTGTGTGCAAAACCGCCTTTTCTCAACAATTTTCATTTATTTTTAAGTTTCATATCGAGATATTATCTATAATAATATCGCGATATAATGCTCAAATAAAACATGAACGAGTAGGAAATTATCACCTCCGACATTATCGCGATAATATCAACGAAAATATCGATATATTAACAATATTTAAAAGGATATGTCCTATAATATCGTCCATTTAAAAAAACGATATCATCGGCGAAATATCGCAGATAATACCATCGATATTTAAAGCTTAAGTTCTTTTTCAATTGTAACCAGTTTGGCAGGCCCTTTGTACTTTTTCTCATATGTAATGTAATCTACCCTTGGAAGCTCAAAAATTTACAGACCAATTCATCGGAAACCTCAATTGCCCAACTTGACAGATCATTTCTTTTTCATCTAGTTCATGTCAAGAGTTGTTTCTTTATCTTTAAATGATTGCTGAAGAAATTGGTTGGAAGAAATTACCAAGCAGTGATGCTTATGAGTGTGAGTTCATCAAATGATGATGAGAGAGAACAAAATTCTGGAAAAGCAAGTGAGCAAGCAAAAGCATAACTTTGAGAATTTCTTTCTGTCTTTGATTTATGAATCTCATTTCAGTTGAAAACTCAGAAATGAAATACAAAACAACAAAATAAAATTTGAGAATTTCTTAAAATTTGATCACATGAAAAAATGAAGATGAAGAGGAAGATAGAATATCCAGTCAGTGGGCCCAACCCCTATCACTTGTTCAAAACAGGAACAACTATAGAACTACTTTCTTTTAGAACTATATATCCTGTAGCTGCTCCAACTGTAATAACTATCAAATGTCCTCCTACACTCAACTGCTCTCACCTCTCTCTGGACCCTTACCTTCTTCACAGACACTTTCTTCCCTCCAAATCCACCAACGCACAACTCTTAAAAGAAACACTTTAAAGCAATCTTCTATACCCAACCAACCCACCACCACCACCTTTGCGCCAAAACTCATATCCCATTCTCGCACTCCGGCCTCATGGATCGAAACCCTTCGCTCCCAAACCCGGTCCAATCATTTCCGAGAAGCCATTTTAACGTACATCGAAATGACTCTTTCGGGTATAGCACCCGACAACTTTGCTTTCCCGGCAGTTCTCAAGGCCATTACAAGCCTTCAGGACTTGAATTTGGGGAAGCAGATTCATGCCCATGTCGTGAAATTTGGGTATGGATCATCTTCAGTGACCGTGGCTAATACACTTGTAAATGTGTATGGAAAATGTGGAGATATAGGAGATGCATGCAAAGTGTTCGATGGAATAATTGAGAGAGATCAAGTTTCTTGGAATTCGATGATTGCTGCTTTGTGTCGGTTTGAGGAATGGGAACTCGCTCTTGAGACGTTTAGGTCGATGTTATTGGAGAATGTGGAGCCTAGCTCCTTTACTTTGGTGAGTGTGGCTCTTGCTTGTTCTAATTTGCACAAGAGTGATGGTTTGCGGCTTGGAAAGCAAGTTCATGCGTATAGTGTGAGAATGAGCGAGTGCAAAACATTTACAATCAATGCTTTATTGGCAATGTATTCTAAATTAGGAGAAGCTGAATACTCGAGAGCTTTGTTTGAGTTGTATGAGGACTGTGACATGGTTTCATGGAACACGATGATAAGTTCATTATCTCAGAATGACCAATTTATGGAAGCATTAGAGTTCTTCCGCCTTATGGTTCTTGCAGGATTTAAACCAGATGGGGTCACAGTTGCAAGTGTTCTTCCTGCCTGTTCTCATCTGGAGATGCTAGACACAGGGAAGGAAATACATGCTTATGCCTTGAGAACCAATGAATTGATTGAGAATTCTTATGTGGGTAGTGCTTTAGTTGACATGTATTGCAATTGCCGACAAGTTTCAAGTGGTCGTCATGTTTTTAACGCTGTCTTGGAGAGGAAAATTGCACTTTGGAATGCAATGATTACTGGTTATGCACAAAATGAGTATGACAAGGAGGCCTTGAACCTGTTCCTTGAATTGTGTGCTGCCTCTGGGCTTTCTCCAAATTCTACCACAATGTCAAGTATTGTGCCAGCCAGCGTGCGGTGTGAAGCATTCTCTGATAAAGAAAGTATCCACGGTTATGTAATAAAGAGGGGTCTGGAGAAGAACAGGTATGTGCAAAATGCACTTATGGACATGTACTCCAGGATGGGGAAGACACAAATTTCAGAAACTATATTTAACAGCATGGAGGTAAGAGACATAGTGTCTTGGAACACCATGATCACTGGTTATGTTATCTGTGGACGCCATGGTGATGCACTTAATCTGATATATGACATGCAGAGAGTGAAAGAGAAAAAGAACATGAATGATAATGCTTATGATGATGAAGGAAGGGTTCCTCTTAAGCCAAATTCTATAACATTCATGACCATTCTTCCAGGTTGTGCTGCATTGGCAGCACTTGCTAAGGGGAAAGAGATTCATTCTTATGCTATTAAACATTTGTTGGCATTTGATGTTGCAGTAGGAAGTGCACTGGTTGACATGTATGCAAAATGTGGCTGCATAGATTTAGCTAGAGCTGTGTTTAATCAGATACCAATAAAGAATGTGATCACCTGGAATGTACTTATCATGGCTTATGGGATGCATGGGAGAGGGGAGGAAGCCTTGGAACTATTTAAGAATATGGTGGATGAAGGAAGTCGGAATAAAGAGGTAAGACCTAATGAAGTTACTTTCATTGCACTGTTTGCAGCATGTAGCCATTCTGGGATGGTAGATGAAGGACTGAATTTGTTCCACAAAATGAAAAGTGACCATGGGGTTGAACCCGCAACAGATCATTATGCTTGTGTTGTGGATTTGCTTGGCCGGGCAGGTAATGTGGAGGAAGCATATCAACTTGTCAACACCATGCCTTCTGAGCTTGATAAAGCAGGTGCCTGGAGTAGCTTGCTTGGTGCTTGTCGAATTCATCAGAATGTAGAGATTGGGGAAATTGCAGCTAATCAACTCCTGGAGTTGGAGCCTAGCGTGGCTAGTCACTATGTTCTACTCTCAAATATATACTCATCCTCTGGTCTTTGGGATAAGGCAATGGATGTTCGGAGAAAGATGAAGGAAATGGGAGTGAAGAAAGAGCCTGGTTGTAGTTGGATTGAGTTTGGAGATGAGGTTCATAAGTTTTTGGCTGGAGATTTGTCACATCCACAAAGTGAACAGCTCCATGAATTTCTCGAAACCCTGTCAGAGAAGATGAAAAAGGAGGGTTATGTGCCTGATACTTCTTGTGTACTTCACAATGTTGATGAGGAGGAGAAAGAAACTCTACTCTGTGGGCACAGTGAAAAACTGGCACTAGCATTCGGCATTCTCAATACCCGTCCTGGGACTACCATTAGAGTTGCCAAGAACCTTAGAGTCTGTAACGACTGCCACATGGCGTCGAAGTATATCTCAAAGATACTCGACAGGGAGATCATCTTAAGGGATGTAAGAAGGTTCCATCATTTTAAAAATGGAACTTGTTCATGTGGAGATTATTGGTAAAAGAAAGGTACCTAAAATTTAATTCTTCTTCAAGATTTGGTACCATATACAGCTTTGCTGATCATATGTTTTTCTCCATTCAAACTCTGTAGCATAAGAAAAATTGTAATTTTTTTTTTTTATAAATTTCAAATGGTTTTGAAGCTGTGAAGTA